CCTCAGTGATTCAAAAACAAACAAACATTATTGAATTAAAAAACTAAGCAACTCCAGGATGCAACTTCATAATACATTGTAGAGCAAACTGTTAATCTACTACCTGATATCAATACACATAATGCCTACATCCACAAATACATAAAAACACTAATCAATTGAGATTTTTTGTTAGAGAGAATGAGTACTCACATATAACTCTGAACATAGAAACCGGTTTCAATAGAACATTGTGAGAGGGTGGCAGAAAACTTGTCCCCTTCGGATTGGAGCGTGACCTTTGCGTACGCAATATACTGGAATCCACCAAGCTATTCACCTCGCTCACCAACCAAGAACATATGTACGGTCGTGCTCTCATCATACTCATAGCCATTCACACAAATTTCAACATTGGTTCCAATATTAGGGTGAAATATGTTATTCAAAAAATAAATAACGTAATGAGAGAAACATGGAAGACAAATAGTACTACATATAAAGATCAACACAAATGTAAGCATTTCAAAATCACATTATAATGTCTGGAGACCTGCTTCTTTTTGTTCATGACATGAAAACTGAATAACTCGTACTTTACTAAAATTTACATTGAATGAGGAATTGGCTGAATGGTCATAAAGTGAGAAGATTGGCATTAAAGAAACTCAAATATACGAAGCATTTGTTAATTGAAACCCTCCTGGTTTTTTCTCAATTGAATAGCAAGTTTCTGAGTCCATAAGAAAAAATTAGTGGGCAACTTTTCAGGAATGGAAGCAGACAGATAAAAGACAAAGGATAAGATAAAATTTGTGTTAATATTCCAGATTACAAACATCTTATCTTTCTACAATTTTTAAATTTAGCAAATATACATCCAAACTAAATTAAGCGGAGCAGATTTGAAATCTCGAAAAAAGAGCATCATCCACATGCTTCAAAATCAATTTTAACACAGGGAAAAACTTCTTAGTTCCCCTTTAAGAAAATAATTACAGATAATAGGTGTAGGTTTTAGAATATGCCACATCCTACATAGAAATTTTATTTATACAAAGCAAATGTCACGAAAAACTGAAATACACATAAAACCTTCTCGCAAACCAGAAGATTTGTGACTATTGAAATAAAGTATAGAAGAAAAAACGATATGAAATTAGAGAAGAGAGATATATAATTAGATATAAACGAATCTTACAACAGACGATTGATATGTTTAGTAATGGGGATGAGTCCTCGCAAGTCGCAATAGCCAGCTAAGTGGAGAATTTGGATCTGCGTGATGGCGGTGAATCAGCTATGCCGGCAACGAGAAAGCCGAGAGAGAAGATAGTGAAAATATAGGGTGCGGGTCTGATTTTTCTTTCTAACCTAAAGGCCCACTTCATTTAATATACCCGCCTAGTGTTTTATTTCCCTGCTATATCATTAGCAATAGCGTTTACATGATTTGCTAGAGCTATTACAAACAAAGAGTAGCTCAATTATAACACTTTCTATAGAAACGCTATGCTTCTATGCTATAAAAAAGCAATATTGTTGTAGTGAGGCAACACCATAATCCCACGTTGAACCCAATTGTGATTTATCGATCTTATGTGGTCCAAGTTCTGCATATGTTTCTTTTACTGTTGTAACAAATTCTTGAGCTATCTTTGGACATTTATGGTGTTGAATTGCTTGCAGTGCCCTAAAGAAACCCAAATCTAAGATACTTAGATAAGGGGAATTGAATTTGGTGGTTGACATACCAATTGTATATCCCACCTGTCCATTCTACCAACAAGTATAAATGTTGCATATTTATACCAATGTGATGCTTTGTCTTGTTGTATCCATATTGTTTTACATGCATTGGGTGACCATTTTTCTTTGATTGATGGAATCAATTATGTGAGAAATGCATTTCTGTTGACTCCCTTCGTAATGGATGGGGTTGGCTTTACTTCAATACACTTTGCACTTCAATTTTTGTTTTTTGTCATTGCCGCCACATTTTCGTAAGAGAAATTTTCAATTTTTCCATTCCATAGTATTGATCCGTCCAGATTGCTCCATGGTCTAGCAACGGTTGCGAAAAACATAACCTTGTTGATAAACCTTTTACAGCTTCTGTGAGGATCTTCCTATGAGGACAAAAGATAGCAGTGTTGGGTAATTTGACTCATAAAGAACCATTTTTCATCCACATGTATGTCATTGAACATATTTGAAAGTTGTGGAGGTTCAGAGACTGGTCTAGGAATTATTTGACACATGACCACTCTAGTCTCCCCAATTTGTTTTTTTTAATCTCCCCAATTTGTTTTTGAAGGATAAATCATGTTTTATTGCATGTGTGTGCCCTTATAGTACCATTACTTAGTAACTTATGCACTATTGAAACACTTATCTTAAGACAAGTTGCAAAATTTCTCAGAGTGGTCCTTCTACTCTTTGGAATGACATGTATTTCTTCTAAGTCGATGGGTACAATATTTCTCCCACACTTGCCACTCCTTTTATGATTTGTGTTAATTGGCTAACCTTTTTGAACTTGTTCTATTTTTGTTGGCCAGATTCTGTCTATTGTCTTTGTCGAAACACTGTGGGTGTTGGCTACCTTTGTAAGTACTCCTCTCTTATAGTTTAAAGCTTTTATCAATGACGATTTTGATAGCAATTCTTTTGCTATTCTCTTTCATTTTGAATTTGTGAGTGAGACATATTTTTTGGCAGGTACAGGTACAATTGTGTTTGTGTTGGATGAAGGGTCGTCATCTTCAGATTCATCGTCACCATCAACTACTTCAAAATACCTTGCTCAATCTGCATCATCTCTCCTGGAGGAATAAAAAAGAATTTTCTTTAAAAGTCGGTGTGGTAATCACCTCAAGAATACGTGCAGGGGAAAAGCTAAAACAGAAAAGCTGAAAAGGAAACTGCAAAGTAGATGACTGAAAATAGATACAACATTCCTTATATAGCAATGTGTAGTTCTGACTTTTTGGAGGGAAATATACCTTTTGCTAATGTGGACAAAGTTTGGGCACCAACTTTGAGTTGGTGTAGTAGAGCGACATGGTTGTAATATGGACTTATGGAGTAGCTTAGATTTATTCTCTTTGCTTGTTGGGCTCATTCTCTAAATATTACTCAATTAATTAAAGCTAATTTCAAAAAATTTGACTGCATTTACATTTGGACAAAAATGTGACTAAAACAAAGTGATATCCAAATATTCATGTCATTGTACCATTTTCATGTCACTTTCGGATGTTACTGCTGTCATCGCCATGGCACTATCGCCGCCATTGCTCGTGTCACTGCCGCCGTCGACCACAGTGACACTGTCACACTGACATCTCCGCAATGATAACGTGACGCAATTTCAGGCGACTTTTTACACACCGCCACTGCCATCTGCCACAACCCCACCTATCCCCACGCCTCAGCACCCCAAACCTAGCCTTACCAACCCCTGACCTGTCCCCAACCACCTCCTGTCCCTGATCTACACCTCCACAGCCCCAATCAGCCCAACCACGACCGAGCCACCATTCAAGCCCCAACCTCTACCGCCAAGCCGTCGCACCAACCTGCCACCCCAGAAATCCTACATGCCGCCCCTATAGCCACACTCTAGGCCAAAGGAATGGAGCTCAGGGCTCAACGATTTTAGACCAACAACTATAGAATGAGCTTTCAGGCGCGTCGCCATTGGGGGGCACAAGATATTGCGTTGGATTTCATTGGACGTCAGTAGCACAAAGGTTTCCGTCAGGATTTCATTTGATGCTAAAAATCCAAAGATTTATGTGGTCCTTTCAAGGATTTAAGCAACAAATCAAGCCTCAATTCATGTTTTAGAGATTTTAATTGCCAAAGGGATTTCAACGAACCGGCAAGATGGTTTCAAGGAAGATGGCACTGTACATGGGGAAATAAAATGGTCACTTTTTGGGTAAAGGAAAAAGTAGTATGGAGTAATATTTTTGGAATTAGAAATTTAAGAAGTAACATTAGTGTCATTCTTTCTTGCTTATTTTTCTTTTCTCTTTATTTTTTGTCATTTCTTTTTCCTTTCCTTCTCCACAAATTTAATTACCTTTCTTAACTTATTTCAATTGTCAAGTACCTTGTGGTCTGATGGCATCTCTGTGGCACTCCCAAGGTGGATGTCACATGTTCCAATCTCATCCCAGTTCAAGGATGTTGGCATTAACAATGAGCATATACTATATAGGTTAGAAAGAATTGTCCCAAAAAAACTTATTTCAATTATATTTTGTCATTTCTTGTGAAAATGCTAAGGTGACAAGTATTTGAAGAACAGAGGGAGTAGACATGAACTTATCCTACCAAACATGCTTTTTTTTCTTTCATCCGGAAGGCAACCCACCAAAATCAGTGGAGTAAATGTCGGAGTACATTTACCAGAGTATTAGAGTATTAAGAATTAAAATGTCAAACTAAGAGATGGACTAGATCAATACCTCTCAGACAAACAAACAAGGAGAAAACTAATGGGGGGATAGGCCTGACCCATTAGGAAAACAACAAAATTCCAAATGGAAAAACAAAGAAAATCAAGTAATTCTAAAAGCTGGTAGCCCAAATAAATCCATAAAGTAGTACATCCTAGCCTAATATGGAAGAGCTCGGATATGGTGATAAGTAATCTGTTGGGCCGAGCCCAGACGCGCTAAACTATGCGCCACCCAGTTCGCTTCTCTCCAAATGATGAAAAAGGAAATACCTTTAGTTTCAGACAAAACCAACAAAGAAAATGCTTAGTGTACATGACTTGTACACAAAATTGTACACAAAATCCTCCTACTTGCCCATGTGTACAGACAATTCGTTTAAAAAGGGGCATAACTTCATGTCAAATTGTCTGTGCACATACACATTTTGTGTACAAACTTCTGTACATCAAGAATGATCCAACCAACAAATCAACAATTCAATAACCTGGCAAGACCATCCTACCAAACATGCGTTACTTACATGCATCCACAATACAATATCATTAATCCATCATCTCATATGATTTTCTTTTTAAAATGAATAAACATCGAGTCCTCACATTTGAACATTCAAATTTCCCAAATTCTGAAGCAATACCAAGAACTCTAGAACAAAAAAGCTCTCCCTGTGTTTATGTACTACCGTTCCTTCTTCATTTTCTATCTCTTAGCAAATCGTAACTTCGGATCTTCCACCTCGTGCCTCCATGTCAATCGCGTCAATTTCGTTTCCCCGGCAACATGCGGCGCCTTATAAGTTTTCTCCTTCCACAGCCTCAGGCTGGCAGCGGAGGTACTTATCATCATCACCCCCCGCCATTAATATCGCAGCTCGTCGATACAATCAGAGCTTGGACGACGTTTCTAGAAAAGTCTCACATCAGAACAGGAACCTCCTCAAGGCTCGCGAGGATGTCAAGCCATTTTCGTCTCCGGCTTCCGTTCTCTGTTACGAAGACAAGCTGAATCTGTCCCAGGACCAAGCGGTAGGGATGGTTTCTGCTTCACAGGCAAACTTCATGCGTGTTATAGTGCAATCACTTCCTCCTGAAGTTTGTAGTAATTCTGAATTGACTGAAGGTTCCAGTGGCACTCCAGGAGTTGGGGTGGAACTGTTGTGTGTGGTGAAGGCCGTGTTGAAGAAGATCAAGAGAAGAGTGATGGTTGGGGATAAAGTTCTTGTTGGTTCGATTGATTGGGTTGATAGACGAGGAATGATAGAGAATGTGTTCCGGAGGAAGTGCGAGATTTCAGACCCTCCTGTGGCGAATGCTGATCATTTGCTAGTGTTATTTTCCCTGGAGCAACCTAAACTTGAGGCATTCTCCCTCACTAGATTCCTTATTGAGGCAGAGTCAAGTGAAATTCCTTTCACCCTTGCATTAAACAAGTGTGAACTTGTTCCTGAAGAGGTTTGCATCTTCATGAAAATGAAAATATTATCAACCTTTGACATTTTATGATTAGTGTACTTATAATGGCATTGATAGGATCTTATTTGATTCATTAAGTATATTAAGAGGAAAAAATATGGCTTTGTCAGTTGTTCAAGTGTGTGAGGAAATGCTTTAGCAATGTCAAGTTTGCAATGGATCTTGCAATTACTCTTAAGCTGTATAATACAATCACCCTACAGTTGTATCAGAATTCTCCTTTTACACTAATAATAAAGATCAAGAAACTCCAATTAGAAGAGAGAAGAAATCAATAATACAATTATACCCCATCTGGCCATCTGGTTAGTCATTACACCTAGATATATAAGATATTGAAACGTAACAATGAACCTATAAACCGAGGTATAACCAACTACTTCTTCAGAACTTGCTTGATCTAGTTGCTCCTCACGTCTCACCTCCTCAAGCATGCTCACATTATCATCAATGGTTCTTTGATCAGTCGGTGAAAATCTTTCTATAACTCCAGCTCCTATCATTGCATGAAATAAGTCTATTTCAATCTGTGAATAGGCGTCTCCCGCCTATCATTCCACACTACATCTGAATCTTAATGAATATATACACACATATGAGATCCTGGCAGAAGAAATGGACTCTTGAAACAACTCAAAATATACACGTATATGCGGTGTAACTCATTTAGCTACCAAAAATGCCAGAGTATTGAATGTAAGGTAGAAGATCTGGTTTGGTTAAAGCTCCAGGTGCTTGAGAGAATTCAGATGATATTATATGTCAAACATACACTATTCTCATTTGATGTATAATCACATACATATTACTTGTACAGTATACTTATATACTAAATATATGTTACTTCAGATTTTGTCATTTCAATATCAAATTTATGGTTGGTGTTTGGCATGATTTATCAGTTACAGTTCTAATGTAGCTTTAGCAGAGAATGCTCTAAGAAGCTCTTCTGCTTTTAGTGAAGTGAGCTTTTCAAATCCTACAATGTAAGCACAATTGGTTCCTGAACTCAAACTTGTGGCCATGGGTTTGCCCATTTTTTCATTATTAATTAGATGATAAATGATAATGTTTCGCATGTCCATGTCTTTTAGTGTCGTAAGCTCTTCAAGTTCCATAATGTAACATGTTGGATTCTATTGAATTTTCTTCCTATTGTTTATTCATTTATTCACCTATCATTGACTCATTGGTTACCTTCATGGATATTAATAACTTCATGAGGCGATGTTTATCACTTATGCAGACATTGGCTGCATGGAGATCTAGGCTTCAGAAATGGGGCTATGAACCTATCTTTTGCAGTGCTAAGTTGATGCTTGGAATTGATGCTTTGCAGTTCATTATGAGAGAAAGGACCTCAGTAATTGTGGGACCTAGTGGTGTTGGAAAATCTAGTCTCATTAATGTGATGAGAATCAATAAATGTGGTGCCTCTGGTGCTGCCAGCGAAGGCATGGGATCCTCTCATCCAGTGAGCTTTTTCTAGCCTTTAATATGTTTTTCCTAAATTTCTCTGGAGAGACTTGTCAGGTTCTTGACAGAAAATGGTTTGGAGAGCAGCAAAGTGTTGGGGAAGTGTCCACCAGAAGTGGAAGGGGGAAGCATACAACCAGGAACATTTCCTTACTTCCAATATCTGGAGGAGGGTATATTGCTGATACTCCCGGATTTAACCAGCCTAGTTTGACTAAAGTGACAAAGCAGTCCCTTGCTCAAAATTTTCCTGAGGTGCATTTTCGCTGGATTCACCTACACTTTCTCAGTTATTTTGAACCAATAAATGGCCATAGCATTACTTTTTCTTCAGATCCTAAAAAGGCTCGAAGACAAAGAACCTGTGAATTGTTCTTTCAGCAATTGCTTGCATCTCGGCGAACCAGGGTGTGTTGTTGGTGGAGACTGGGAAAGATACCCATACTACCTTCGGTTGCTTGATGATATTAGAATCAGAGAGGAAATTCAACTTCGGGTTATAGGGACTAAACAAGAGAGTGATGTCAGGTGTGTCGTTCGACTGAATTCTTTCTTTTTACTTTCTTTTTTAGGGAGGGTGGGTGTGTGGCAAGTTTGACAGTAGTATCGAAAATCACGGCTATTAATTGTTCTACTGTAAGCTTATTTATTGTGGTACTGTACGCAGTCTCATTATTTTTTCAGGTATAAAGCGCGAGATAGAGGTGTTATGCACGCCGAACCAAGGTTAGAACCCAAGAAACACAGGAGACAATCCCGTAAGGAGGTGAACCAATCAGTATTGGACAAGCTGAATGAACTTGAAGATGATGAAGACACCACAGATGGATTGATGACAAGCCAACATTATTAAGGGAAATGATACTACAAAAAAGTACTGGTAAAGAGACATTAAATATGGACATTCTGAGCACCCATTTATTGGTTGATGATCACCATCATCCATTGAATGTGTCATATTTCATGCTTTATGATGTTCATATTTAATGTCCGCTAACATTAGTCAACAACAACTAACTCATCATGGAAGTTACCGTGAATAAGTAGTGAGTGTGTGTTTGTGAGGGGTAAATGAAACCGTTGATTTTTAGAGGCCAAGAGTATGTAGGTGTGAGACTATCACCACTGAAGAGGTTAAATAGTTGAAGCTGGCATCACAATGTTGATTAGTTTGTTGTGGCTTCCATTGTTCTTCCCTAAGTTTTTTACATAGCCTGGACTCATTGAAAGAAAAAAGAGATGCAAAATGTAACATTGTGAATAGAATAACCCTAGTGTGGTAGATCCGTAGATGATCTTTCAGAATTGCAGACATCTTGTCCTGGAGAGTTCATGTTCATGTGGGGTTATATTTTTGTAGGCCTAATGTTAAATATTCGGAACCTTCACAGATTGTCTGTGATTTTGGCCAATTCTGTAAAAATTAGTTGTAACTTTTGCCAACACTCGAAGCTTACATTCTTTTCTCCTAACTTTGGCCAACACTCGAAGCTTAAATTTTTTTTCTCCTACACGAAGCTTGCATTGTTTTAAAAGTTGCACAAGTGGAGCATTTTTGCTGAGGAGACTTTATAGCAAGATTTTTAATCAAAATTGCAACTTATTCAGTTGAGAATTTAACAAGATTTTTAATCAAATTTGCAACTTATTCAGTTGAGATTTTTTTTCAAAATTTCAACAAATTTTGAAACAATGCACTTCATTCGTTCTAGTTTAGTTATAGCAATTTGACTTTTACATTTGATAGTACTTATCTATATAACTGCAAGCAATATTATATTTAATCAGTAATTGGTTAGACGAATTAACAATATTTTTTAATACTCTAATCAATGCACTTAAGCTTCAAATTGCCCACACATTTGTTTTCACATTTCTAGTTCTCCAAGACTCCATCTAGGCGTTAGGCGTATTAGGTTACTGTTGAAATCCAGCTAGTAAGTAGCATAGAGCCATAGATCATGCTAACAGCTAATACTTCAGAGCCATCGAATGGCAGATCTAGAATCTCAAGATTTACTGATGAAATGTGGAGTATGGATGGAGGGCAGGAACTGTGGATGAACTAACCAACACTCCAACAGGTAACAGCCTTGCAATCTTGCATTACTACGTCAACTATGTTCACACTTGAGAGTCAGATAAAAGGTCGTGGAATCGTGGATGATCAAAGTCTGCTGCGAGTTAACGCTCTCGCACTTTAATGGTGTTTTGGGAATCAAGATTCCAAATACGGATGCGTTGCACAGCACGAATTAAACAGAGGCCAAGTATTATACTCCAGTAAATAGGTAGCCCAATACAATTCCTGTTCCCTAACCATAGGAACCTTAATCTCAACCCGCAATAACAGATGCAAGTTTAGGTTGTAACAACGGTTTTGGATCCATTTCATACGAATTCCATTCTAACTGGATTTGCAAACTATACAAAGCAATAGATCCAAATTTATACATTTAGGACCAGAACTATGGTTCAGTTTCATGCCTGTTAGCGATTGAATCCAAAACCATGCCTGAAATCCATTTATGATATTTTATGAACCAAATTATAAATTAATATATAATTTATTGATAGAGGTCATCTAAATAACCACGACTGATGCATGCGAAGTGAACCCCAAAAAAGCAATGTCATTTATCAAACTAATAATGAAAAGGTTCTTCAAAAACAAAAGCAACGCATAATAAATGTTGGACAGAAGATCCATGTAAGAAACTAGTTCGAATGGATTGCACACAAAATGGAGCAAAATTGTAAAACGCTCTGGAAACTCCAACTCCTCTTTTGTATGACTGCATGATTAAGCCTTTCCAGATTTGCTGGTTGCCAGCTGAGATTCGGGCTGCAATTTAAACAGCGAGAGAGAGCAGGTTAGTCCGCTTACACTACATGATTTAAAAATGAATCAAAAACCACAATGATTCAGTGTGTCATCTTCTCCAATAGTTGAACCAACCTCTTTCTTGACAGGCTCTTCCTTTTCAGACAAGATCAATTCAATGTGGCAGGGAGATGACATATATGCTGCAACCAAATACATGAAAAAAAATAAAAAACCTGGAACTGCTGGTACCAAGCAGATAAATAAGAAATTAACAAGGGAACATGGAGCACATACGGTTAATTCTCCCATGAGCACGGTATGTGCGGCGCCTTTGCTTCTGTGCTTGGTTCACTTGAATGTGGGAAATGAATAGGGAATCTACATCTAATCCTTTCACCTTTAAATTATATTATGAAAAAAGAATCAGCATAAAAGAACACAATATACTCTACTCAAGAAAGGTAAGAAATTGCTTTTTCCCTGAAGTGTATCCACATACCTCAGCATTGCTTTCAGCATTCTTGAGCAAATCAAGAATAAACTTCGCGGATTTTGCAGGCCAACGTCCTTGCCCATTAGGGTGTCTGTTCTTTGCCTGTGCAGTTCGTCCCACACCACGGCAGAAACGAGTGAAGGGGATGGCTTGCTTGTGTGCCAAAACATCCTCCAAATACCTTTTAGCCTTCACTAAAGGCATCTTCCTGAGAGCATGAGCTGTTTCCCTAGTGTTCTGTTCGCGCACATAAGATTAAAACAAAGGTCATTCTCTAGTGGTGGGAGAACATCATGCATGCAAAAACCAAATGTGTTCAGCAGAATAAATAAAAAGAATACATCACTCAAATCAATTTATAAAGACTATGGGGAAGATGATTGTTACAAGATTCGACCTAGAATTGTGAAAGAAAACAATTGCAAGCCATGAAACAATTTGCTTTGTGGTGTTGATGCAATGAGTCTAGGGGATATACTAATTACTTTATAAATGAGTGTTACACAAAGCAGTGCTTCTTAAGTATAATGAAAAGTAATCGCATTTCAGGGAAAATAAAGATGGAAAACACTTTCCAATGTTGGGTATGTAGTTTGACTAGGGAAAATAGAGGTAAATAATCCACATTTGAGTGGAAAGCAACTATCCTTGGGTGATGTGAGAATCACAGTCCAAGGTTCAACTAAATACTTTTAATACAACAATGTTACTACGTGCATCCCAATATAAGGTTCACTATTTAATTTTTGGTTGTGTAACAATAAAAACTCCATTATCATTTCAAAGAATAATTGTATTGGGTGGCTGATATTTTATTTTCACTTTGATCATTTTACAGTAATCCTGGCCACAATTTTAAATTATTCAGTAGTGTCACTTGTAGGTTCTTTTTACTGTGTTCCTTTTATGATATTTTTTGTGGCTTTTGTTAAAACTAGTGGTTCATCCCCCCCACTTTTGAAATAATATTACATTATAAAAACCTGAGATTATGCATTCCATATTTTCATACTCGTTTTTTTAAAATTGAACCTCCCATGCATATCAAGCAATTGAAGATGTTTCACCTTTCATTTAATTTTCTTACTTAAGGTAAATAAAAGAAAGTGAAGAAGAAACATCTGAGATAATCCAAAAACGAGAATGGGTCTGTCAAATAACAACGCAAATTTATCTCCCATATGAAGATTGATATCACAAAAACAAACTAATCCCCTTTTCACTGGAAAATTTCTCAAACAAATAATACTCTGAAATACAAACTGAACCCTAGCTTCGCACACAAAAGAAATAAAATCAGACTAATAAAAGCACCAACTCTAACAGTAAAATAGAAAAGTAGATCGGTACCTTGAAATGAACCCTTAGATCAGAGCCTCTGGCTTTGCAGGCTGCAATGCATATACATATCAAAAGTGAAAACATGGACAGTGTCGGAAGGAAAAGAAACATATGTTCACAAACAAAAGAAGCTTTGGATTAATCATAGGGATAATTGAAAAAAAGATCTTACACTTGGTATGATTGTCTGGCTCTCTAGAGTACTTCACCTGAAAGTTAACGAGAAGTGCGTCTGAGATGTGAAGATAATAATTTACGAAAGAGCGCAAAACGGAAAAAACGTTAGGGAAGATACCATTGTGCTAGCGGTCTTCAGCTGTGACTGAAGTACGAGCGGCTTGGAGGAGCAGGAGAGGAGGCTAGGTTTCCTTGAAGATAGGTAAATATCTGTGAATATTTTAGCCCTAATTCCCCCATACGGGCGCAAAACTTTCCTCCGCGCACCTAATTTACAATTTTGCCCTGGCTGTAGGCTACCCCACTTAGGCCGGTTAATGGGTCGGGTCTAGACCCGGACCCGCCCAAGTTCAGTTGTTTTTAACTGATACGAGTTTATATTTTATTCTGTTTACCCCGATTCGGACCTATTAGCACTTTTTTTTTTGCATTTTTCTAAACCTATAATAGTATCTGCTCTAGTCAATGTCAACTTTATTGATTGGGATGAGACTCGAACCCGCGACCTCCTCTTTGGAAGATCGGCAGTGGTGTCATCATACCACAAGATACTTGGCGACCCATTAGCACTTCTAATAAACATAGAGTTTTTTTTTTCAAAAATAAAAAAATAAAAAATAAAAATAAAAATAAAAAAAAAAAGGTTGTATTTTTTCAATTAAAAATATACTCACTAATACATACCTACTATATAAGTGATATTGATAGGAATAGTGAGATACCCTAAAAATAATATCCATTTTGATCGTTTATACATACTGATAAAGTGTGTATTAAGCTCGATAGGGAAAGCATAATATTTATTATTATTATTATTATTATTATTATTATTATTATTATTATTATTATTATTATTATTATTATTATTATTATTATTATTATTATTATTATTATTATTATTATTATTATTATTATTATTATTATTATTATTATTATTATTATTATTATTATTATTATTATTATTATTATTATTATTATTATTATTATTATTATTATTATTATTATTATTATTATTATTATTATTATTATTATTATTATTATTATTATTATTATTATTATTATTATTATTATTATTATTATTATTATTATTATTATTATTATTATTATTATTATTATTATTATATCATTATCGAATATAATATGCCGTTATACTCTCAATAGTCCAAGAGACAATTTTTGTGACTTAATTTCTAGTATATTCTATGAGCTTTTTGTGCGAGAGAGACACACAGAGTGTAGAGTTATCCGTCTCTATAAGAACCAATACTTTATTGCATAAAAATAATAATTTTCTATGATAAATCTTTTTTTTTTTTTGAAAAGTTAAGATATATTTTGTTTTTTAATTTGACACTTTGCTTTACATTTCATATACAAGTCTTGTTATTTTGACAAAGTTTATAATGATGTCCTCATACTTGATGGGTCTATCCGACCCGGTTTCGAGACCCGTTGGATATGAGTCCGGGGTCCAAATTTTAATACCCGGTGGGTAAACGGGTCGGGTCGGAATCCTTTTTTAACTTAGTGGGTATGGATCTCAGCGTTCCCGACTCGACCCATTAAAAAGCCTAACCCCACTCTTTAATTTTTTTTTGTTTATTTTAAACGAAGCACGATTGTTAAAATCTACCGAAGTACTATTTTTTAATCGCATTAGTAAATTTTTTTAAAATCATTGTAAGATTTTACAAAACATATACTCGTATTATAATTATAAAATCAATATCAAAATAAAGTTGCAAGTTAACAATACTATTTCATTTCATTATTTAAAACTGGGAAAAACTGTTAAATAGGTCCTCAAACTTTCATAAAAATGTCAAATAAGTCCTTATATAGGAGGCTCTGTCCGGCCATCGCGATTTGATGCGGTTTCCAGTGGATTTTTTTGATGAAACTTTTTTAGTATCTTATTCATCAAGTCTAGTTTACTCATACCAAATTTAAGCTAAAACTTCAATCGGGAACGCATTCAAATTAATTCTTGAAAATAATCGTGCAGTTAAATGAGCAGTTATCTTCAAGAATTAATTTGAATGCGTTCTCGATTGAAGTTTTAGCTGAAATGTGGTATGAGTAAACTAGACTTAGGGCCTGTTTACTTAGGACTTAATCGACTTAATTGAAATGATAACTTATTGGTTCAGACATATTGTGTTGTTTATTACTTAGAACTTAATCCAAATTGTGTCTTATTCGCTCAGATACTTTGTCACTTATTCGTTCAGCTAGCTTTTGATTGTCCTTCCCGTTCAGACACCTCAATTTAATAGAGTCTCATTTTTAACCCTCGCTTCTCCATCGTTGGCTTCTGCATTCATAGCCGATACTTTCATTCTTCGCTTGTCTTTAGCACCGAAATTTGTCGCCGCCTTCACCTCTCATCGCCGACATCACTCGTCTGAATCCATTCCATCGCCAACGACCAAAGCTACATCCCCTACGACACAATCTGGGAAATAGAGAGAGCTTGCCCCTGCAATTATTTTCGCTCAAAGCTTGCTTGTGGCCTGTGGGGGGGAGAGGAATAGTCTCAGCTCTTCAATTAGGGGTCGGAACCCAGGGAGTAAAACTTTCTTCTTAAATTTAGGATAAATTTAAGATTAGGAGATGCTTCACAAAAAATACTTTAACCAACTTTACCCAAAACTATAAAATTAGGAGAAATATGTATACGAAGAAGAAGACTATTGCATATTGGGTTAATTCTGCTGGTTTTAATAGCATTTGGCAGAGCATAAACTCTTTTTATGGCCTCGTTCAGAATAATAAAAGGAAAGAGATAATATATACCGAGTACTTCATATTTAGCATTTGTTACAGAAATACAAACATAAGGATAAATTGGTAATTTAATATAATTCAGACCATACATTCAGCACACATAGTAAACAACTTGTTATACCAGTGTCACTTATTCCAGACAGATGTCTTAATATAGACAAACATCTTAATCCAGACAGAACTTAATGAGAAAAAAAGTAAACAACCCCTTAATGAATAAGATGCTCAAAAATTTTCATCAAAAGATTCCACCGGGGACTGCCCCAAATCGCGACGCCCGGACAGAGTCTCCTATATAAGGACTTATTTGACCTTTTTATGAAAGTTCGAGGACCTATTTGACAGTATTCCCTTTAAAACTATACATATGAGGTCATAAAGATGATTTAGTAATTTTATCAATCGAGGGTCGATCAAGGACCTCAAAGATGAAATGTATCAGTACATGGCTCGAATGGTTGAAAACTATCAAATTAGGACCTAAAATTCCATAAGTTTTGATTTATTTATTTTTCATCAATTCTATTGCTAATTTTTTATGAATTTTTCTTCAAAAACTTAAATAACATTTTAAAATTTTAAAATAGAAAATACAAAATTCATTTCAACTTAGATCCCAGATTGATAGTTTTCAATTATTCAATCCTTATACCGACACATTTCATCTTTGCGGTCCTCAATTGCTAGTTCATCTATCTTTGGGGCTCTATCCATTATAGTATAATACTCATAATCCAATTAATTAATATAATTCATTGCCCACTTAGTTCCCTTGGGTAACCGGGTCAGCCGGTTGGTGGTGAAGATGATGACGACGGTGAGATGATGACCAATTAATTCTAGAAATTCACGGCAGCGGCGGCGGATAGCGGAGCTCGGCGCCAGAAGCAGCATGATTGCCGACGTCGAATCTAGCAGCAATGGATTTTCTGACGGTGACCGACAGCAGTGGTGGCTGGCCCAAAGCCCTACAGGATTATTATTGTCCAATCTAGAAAAATACTCCAATATAGGAAGTTTTAAAACCTTACTCCTATTTTTCTCGTGTATTTTTTTACTCCTATTTGGGATTTGTCCTATTTATAAACTATTTTTATAATGTAAACATCAAATATATGTAAAATATAAAATAATTAAATAACACAAGTATCCATTATTTTCATTAAATATATTATCGATTTTATTACTATTGAAATTATACTCCGTATTAAAGATCTTTCTAAGTATACTGTTACATCTCTCCAATCTTCTCTCTAGGGTTGCCGCTCGGCCCCTTAAAGTAGCTATCGATTTTCCAGTTTTTCGTCGAGGCCGAAGTACGGCATGAGGCGAGGACGTGGTCTGGTGCGGGTCTCAGCTGAAGACGTGGGCAGCAATGAAGGACTTGGAAGTGAACATCAGTGCTTCTCGTTAACGATGGTAGCGAAAAGTTTTGGCAGAGCCCAGCAACGTCAAAAGGGACGAAAGATGGATGCTTGGCCTTTGGCGTCCACAGGTGATGGACGAAGTGTGGGGCTAGAGGCTGGAACAGAGCTGGATTCGAGGTCATCTGTGTTAGGTGGCAACAAAGGAGACTTGGTAGAGAATAGGATGAATAAGAGGCCAGGTGAGGTAGAAGCTACAGTACTGCTAGAGCGCCCCCCTCCTGAACCGCCGTCATGGAGCGCAGAAGAGTCTAGGGTTTAGAAGCATCTTTTTAATTTTACTTTTTCCTTGCAATTTATTTTTCAAGATCAGACTGCTTATTTTTCTGTTGATTATTTTTATTATTGTAAGACTTTTGCATTAAGTTTGGGGGATGAGAGTTCTGCAGTAACCACTATTGGCTCAATTATGCCCATTTTTGGATCAACGTGTTATATTGATTTGTCAAAGGTGATTAACTCAGAGTCTGGCCCAAGGGCGGATGGTTGTTTATGATGCTTTTGTTATTTTAGCCCCTTTCTGAATGCTATGATTTTAATCTAAGCCCCCTTCTTCCCAAAAAAATTATATATCAATTCCTTGTAGATAATTTTCATAAATTTGAACCATTTTCACTAAAAAAAACTTATGACACTCTCTCCCCCATAAAATTCATATTTCTTACCTTTTTAGTTGCCCAAAAAAATATTTTCATTTTCCTTCTTGAAAACTTTTGTATGATTTTTTTGAGTTAAAGATTTTACCACAATTTAAATCGATTTATTAATGTAGAATTGTAAAAATTCGACATTTTAACAACCTTCTTATACTTATGTTTCTTGATAGCTAATATGGACTGTAACGTATAGTACCCCGTGTATACTATATTATACTGGGAATTCCTTTATTTAAATTTGCTTTTTTTTTGTTTTCAAAAAGTGATTTAAAATTTAAAGATTTAGGGCTTTTTCTAGCTATTTCGGGAAGAAATATTTTATTTAATTTTGTTATGCTAACTTAATTGTAGAAAACTAAATTTGATATTTCAGTGTCTCTAATTTCTTTCTAGTTTCTTCAATATATATTGTTATATTCTACAGATTACATTATATAGTTTATCACTTAAATTTCAAGATCTACGGTATATGTTTTGACTATTTTTAACGAAAAGATATTAATATTGTATTTTTAGTGATGTAATAGAAATTGTAAAGATCGTAGGAAAAGTTTAAATAGCCTGGAACATATATGAAAAGTTACAAATAGTGAAATAGCGGAAAAAAAGTGAGAAAAGTAAGAAAATTTATATATAAAAATGAAGTATTTACAAAAAAAAAAATAGGAAAGTGATGCATGTAATAAAATATTCCCATAAGAATTTACAAAAATAGGAAAGTTTATGTGGCAATTTAATATATAAAGACGAAGTACTATTTTTTGCTTATTGGCAACGTTTTCAATTTACTATATTGCCATTGGTACTGCAAAAAATGAGCTAATAATAATTTGGAGAGCCTAATATTGAAAGATGACCCCATGTTGGCAACACTCTGACATAATCGATAGAAGAGATTATTAACAGCGGACCGGAAATAGCGGGATGGTTAATTTAATACTTTCCTATCATATCATAAGAAATGAAATAAACGTTAGAGGAAAAATGATCTACATTTAATGTTATAAGAGATTTTTATTTAGATAAAACAAAAGAATAAAAATACTAAACGTTTAATAAATATCAACTAATTACATGAATTATGAATTTCTTTTAACAAATGATATTTGAGATTAACGATATAAACCTTAACATCAAGAGTAGCCCCTTTTTTAAAAATAAAACATGTGAAACATGTTGTTATGAGGATAAATTACATTTTTTAAAAATATACCAAAAAACATATTTAATGAAAATTAAGTTTGTGTTAGTAAAATAATATGGAAATCTAGAGTATAAATAATCAAATTCGTCATTAAGACCACTAGGCACTATTTATAAAGAAAGAACTCTATTTATTCCTATCGGTAGTTCCACAGGCTTGGTATTTTATGCAAAATGACAGTGTCCTTTGGAATACAAGTAATCCTGTTTTCTTCTATACCACCTTGTTAAGTTTATTGACCTAACCCTTGACTGATATTAGAAATAAAGCAACCTCTAAGGAATACAAGAGTGAATCTCCCTGCTTTGCCTTGTTGAATTGTATCTGAAATGTTCTTTCTTATCTAAAAAATTGTGTATGATACTTGACACATTGATAGGAAATAAACATTACGATGTCCAATCTGATTCACTCGGAATTCAACCATTACAAAATCATTTCTCTGATCCTTGTCTACTAAACAAACTTTTGACGAACAAATGAATTGTAAGAGACAAATCTATACTGGTGAAGTTTTATGCATATTAGAACAGCGCAGACGCATAATTTAATAAACATCGGCCAAACTATTGGGCAGGACGAATCATACCATCTAAGAGATAAGTCAAAGTCTGGTTGACTAAAACACATAAGTGGACCTGAAACTAGTATAAGCTGTGACATCCACCCAATCCGGGAAAAGTCCTTTCAACTTCAGCTGTCTCTCTGTTAGATGCTGGTCAATTACACCAACTTCGACTCTGATCTCTTCAGAGCTACTTGCCTGCACATTATGTCAGAACTATTATTTGGAGTGAAGGGAAAACACATTTGGTGGTAATTGCTTTATGCACAATATGTATTGAATAACAGTTTGAGCAGGGAAACACAAAACAGTTGGGAAGTCTGCAAGTTCTCACTGCTGTGCATGACAGCTTATTCACAACGAATTTCCTTACCAAGCGCTCACGGCTCACCCCATCCCAAAATTTCAGATAGCATTTGTGTTCGGCACGAATTTCAAATATATAAAAATGATTAGGTACTTTTTTGTGCGACAAGAGTAAAAATGTGTTATGCCAAATAAACACTGAAACACTCAATCTTAATCTGCTTATGTGTCTGCATTTGTACTCTCAAATGATTAAGTATTTTCAGGTTCTTATGCATTTTCCAATCATGTAACATGACATCTTAAGACAATCTATCCAAGAAAACAAAACAAGAGCTGCTCCATTCCTCTGTTCCTATTTCTCCAATGAGTCAAATTGTTCAACTTCTATGTTTCATAAAATTAAAAAGTGCCCACACAAAATGCAATGCAATGCGACAAGAAAGAAAATATGTGAATTTGTTTGTAAGAAACAAGTACAGTTTGGTAATGTTAAAACATTATGAGTTATCAAGGCATAACACCACAAATAAATCATCAAACCTCGAACAATCAAAACTTCCATAAAGTCTCATTACCTCTAACCAGAACTTCCAGTTCTCACTACTTGCGCCGCTTAATCTACATATATATGAAGGAGGGCCATTGCCATCTCTTTCTGGAACTGAAAAAAAAAAGTGATCAACATACAACAAGAAAAATAAATCACTTCATTCAGATGTGTCATGTGTGTTACCTGGAAGTTTGTTATTTGCAAGTGACCAGCTGAATAAAGGGCCTGTTATATTAAGAACTGAAACCCAAACCTCCTTCATGGAGCTATAAGCAGACAAAAAGACAATAATGTAACTAACTTCCATGTGAAATTAAGATAGTATATGTTAAAATAGAACACTAATATACAGTAACTAGTAATGTCAATGGGTTGAAGCAAGTTGTTGCATCATAACTGACCCCCCTCCAGATTATAAGAAAAGTCACCACAACTCAACATTGAATGCATTTGAAATAATAATTCATATATGGAATGGTGGAGCAATGGGACAGTAGTTGTGTAAATTTACACTACATCATAACTCCAATGCACCTTCAAGTATCATACAACAACATCGTGTAGCAGGGCAGTCATAATGTAACATCAATCCATAGCTGTATGACGTTACATGTAAGGCTACACTATAACATGCTAAGAAGTATATATGCAAAATATCACTTGCAATGAGAGGGAGCAGTTAAGAAACCGTTTCATTTCCTAATACAACAAACCAGTGTACCAAAACTCAGAATGAACCGGCCAGTTTGACAGGCCGGAGGTAGAACCAGTCCGGTTCTTATACTGGATTGGTCATGCAATAAACTCATTTCCAGCCAATTTTCCAGTCCAATCCGTGAATCTATGAAATGATCAAGACCATTTTTTTCCTTTTTAATGACCCCCCCTTCCCCTAATCTCACACTCATGCACTTAACTCACTAAGTTATTAAGGCAAGTATGTACATTTTGGACTTAAATTAAACAGATAAGTTGTATCACACAATCAAACAAACTAACATGATGAGTGATGATGGTATATTTGAATGCGATACATCCAACTCGCACTCATGTGCTCAGCCCCTACTCTATGAGGATATATGTCTACTTTGCATTAAACATATAGTAATTTTATCCCACACAGCAACCATCAAAAAAAAAATCCCACACAGTAAAATAAAAAAAACTGACTGTAAATCATTATTGTATTTTATAATTAACATATTTTTATAGTTATGTGTCTGTATTTATACAGACATGTAATCATTTTCTTTGAATGTCCAGACCGGGTCAACAACAGATCCGATATATACTTGGGGCATTGACTTGTCAATAATACTTTCTGAAGTGGAAAGAAAAAAGTGAATTAAATATGTTGCAACTTGCAAGCATTGATATCAATCTTAGGATGGAATGAAGCTCAGTCTCAAACTAAATAAAATTCATTGGTCAATTTACCCCAAAGCAAATTCCAAGTATATTCTACGATATCCGCCACTGAGCTGCTCCTGGGGCTTGTGATTGAATAAATGTGGAAAGCTTTTGTACTGATTCATGATTAAATCAGGCTCTGTAGGGAACTTAAAACTTGTTGAAAATATGTTATTTACTGGGAAAATTCCCTGCAAAGAAACAACTTCAAAGTCACATATTTTTACTTGGTTAAACTCTTCAGGAAGATATAATATACTATACTGCTACAGTATCCAAAATGGTATAAGCTGCGTGCAGGAAAATAGAAAATCTTCAAAGGAAAAAATCTGATTATGGGCTTTACTTTGTGCACGATAAGTCATCTAGTTATTTTGGACCTTGATAAACAACTTCTGTAGATACAATTCCTGAGATGCATCATATTATTTCATTTTCAGCCCTGTGCCTTGATGTCTTCTGTTATGTTGAGGTCTATCACTCATTCTTTAAGCCCTGTGCCCAGATATCATACCTGATCTCAATTTGAGCACATCGGGCCGACTTCTGTAAATATTAAAGAACCGAGCTTGAGGGATTACAATTATTTAGAGCTCAAACTCAAGCTTATCTAAGTTTGAGCTTGGCTCGGCTCTTTGTTAAAATAAGTTTTAGAAAAACTTGGAAATGTTGAATATTTGAGATTTTGAGGATTTAAGTAAAAACATTATGTTTACTGCAATGGAAAATGAAATGTGGACAGCGATTAGGACTTGCAGTGCCCAAATTCCGAGTGAAATTAACTATAGCGATGACATAACTTTAAAAAACAAGATAAGAGAAATTAACACAGTTTCTTATTGGAAAAAATGCAACATCATCTAAATGTGCAAAGTTGGGCTAAAAAGAATCTACATTATTTACCATCCAATCGTCAGGGTGAGACTTAGCAACACTATGAAGAGATAAATTTGTGTTAGTACGCAGCTCCTTCGGCAATTCAGGTAAGTGTTTAAAAACAAAGAACATAGAGTTGGAATCAGTTGTGGCAAAATCGTAACTGGAGCTCAGAATTTGGCTGGAACCTAGAAAAAATATTAAAGATAAATCGTTAGATTATAAAAAAACAATGCCAGAGTACAAGCTAGTGTAGCTATGTGTGCTTAAAAGCTGGATAAGAGCTCATGACATCAGGAAATACTGATTGAAACGACTTATACAAACAAACACAAAATATAAATCGTTAACAAAGTAATATTGAGGCCAAATTGGTAAAAAAAAAAAACAGGTGGTTTACCAAATTGGTAAAAAAAAAACTCATGCGACAAATTGATCAATTTTTGTGAGTGAGGCAATTTTAGTCCTCGACTTTAGAATTCCCCACAATTAGTCCCCCAAATATAGTGAATTTGATATTTTCAGTCGGTTAGTCCTTCTACTTTGATTTTGTCATGAAAAGTGGAGGACTAAAAATTGTCAGCGGGGTGTTTGACAATCAGCAGTTGGCTGCTAGCTAATAGTTAAATTCTAAAATAATAATTTGGCGTAGACCCAGACCGGGACTGGAACGAGTGGTCTACCCGAGCCAGTTTGGGACCACTGTCAAGCGGGCCAGTCCCGGGCCTCCCTTTTATTTGGCAAGGACCGAAGCAGACCGGGTCCATACCTAGCTATCAGCTAGCAGCCAATCATTGGTTGTCAAACATCCTCATTGACATTTTTAGTCTTTCACTTTTCATGACAGAATCAAATTAGAAGGATTGAAAATGTCACTTTCACCATACTTGAATTGGGGAACTAAATACCGGATATTCTAAAATCGAGGATTAAAAGCGTATCACTCACAAAAAATTGACCAATTTCTCGCCAGAGCTACTTTTTTTACCAATATGTTACCGGAGTTTGTTTACCAATTTGGCATACCGCCCTCTTTTTTTTACTAAATTGGTAATTTGGCCGCAATATTGATGGAAACTTTGTTAAAAGATTTTCACAACAATCATCCATCCTAAAGATACTCACCAGTCACCACTAATCCATCTCAAGATTTTCACCACACTGAACTATTGTTTGTTGGCCAAGGAGTTGTTAATCGCCTAGAAAGGGGGTGGTTAAGATTCTAAAAAATTAAAAGATAAAAAACAGTGAAAAAATTTATGCCAGTCCCTATCTTCTGATTTAGTGCATCCTCAGTCTTTACGACAGGTCTGAGAAATGAAACCAAGCTAAGTCAAATCTATTTGCACAATTGTTAACAGCATGACTTGGTAAGACAGATAGTGTACTACTGTAGTGGCACCAGAACGACTACCTCAACCTGAACAATTATGTGACTTCTGTTCAAACTTTGTACGACAACAACATCCAAGCCTTGGTCTCAACAAATTTTGGGGTCGGCTAACATAAATTGATACATGATATCAGAGCCTCAAAAAAAATAAAAAGTATGATAAAAAAGATAAGATAAAATAGAGATAAGATATCCTTTGTACATAAGAATGATAAGATAAAAATGATAAAAAGAATAGAGAGAGAGAGAGTAATGTTCCAATCAGGCCTTCCTGACAGGAACCCCTGTATTGCCGCCTCTGTTTGAGGTGCTTCCGGGTGAAATTTTATAAGCATGTTCTTCATGAAGTGTAGATCATGTCTACAAATTTTCAGCTTTAATTTAAATTGGGAAGTCGATTAAATAAATTATTGAAAAACATTGTGCCAAAATACATATAAAACGCAGTGTTTGTCAATAATTTATTTAATTGACTTCTCAAGCTGAAATTTTGTAGACATAATCTACACTTCATGAAAAACATGCTGACAAAATTTCATTAAAAAACTCCACCCAGAAGCACCTCAAATGGAGGCAGCCGGCCGGCGGTTTCAGTTGGGCCTTCTTGATAGGAACATTTCTATACATATATAATAAAAAAAAAAAAGGATAAAAACATAAGAAAGATAAAGAAGACAATAGGAAAAGGAGGGGGATATGATAAGAGATCAATCCGCCACACAAATTCCCGTCCATTCAAACTCTGTATGAGTTTAAAAATACTAGAAGCAATATTCTAGGCAAGTGGCAGCAAGCCAGCAATGCAGTTCATGATATCACAGACTTGGCCAAACAACTATTACAAATGAGATCCCATGAGCTACTACATTTCAGTCTGATCTTATATTATAATACCTGGAGAATGCGGTTATGGCAGGCATAGAGAGCGTAACAAGCAGAGATATGCTAAGTATTGTGTAACTAACCGTGAAAAGAAAAATTGATTTGATCAACCTAATAGTAGAGCTAGGTTTATAGTCTTCAGGCATCAATTGATTCGCTTTATTTATCACAGATTGTGAGACACTATAAATCAAGACACTTCTTTAGAAAACATAGGAGCACAGTACTGGACGAGCTCTGGGCAAGACATCACACTTGCTAAGCTTTAGTATCCTTTTTCATATCAATTTAGAATCTCTGTTCCACTTCCAATGAATTCCGCCCTGCCTCTGTATTCTAACAAGGAACAAGTTAGTCTGACCTGGCGCTGATGACACATATGAAATCTTGTGTCAGTACCAAGTAACGACAATCGGATGAAACGACAATCGGATGAAGTTCAAGGTACACGCAGTACCTATTCAATGAATGTACTATAAGTCCACAGCGAGCAGGTTTTCTAGCGACTGAAATGACACCAAAAATTCTAGAGAGGGTCACCGGATGATAACCCTTCTTCCAGTGTAGGCAGTAACGAAAAAGGAGTAGTGGGTAACAGATCTGGCAACTTTAAACCAGATTTACCAATTTTACCATTGTGGCAGCGTGATCATGGTGAGATTTCAGGTGGTGGATCGCGTTGACGTTCCGAGGTTGCACTATCAAAAAGTCCTTGGTAAATAAAAAGTTGCCATAAACGCAGTCTCGCGCTAGATAACTACGAAAAATAAACAGAAAACTTAACTAGAAATAAGAATACATGGCTCTGTTACCATGTGAAATATAAGACTTTCATTGTTATTATCTTACGTCAAAGGATTTGTAAAAGGTCCGGGGCTAAATAAATAAAGTGGGTTAGGACCAATACAAATATACAATTATGGTTGGAGTCAATACAATTATGGTTAGAGTTTCAACAATAATATTGTTAAAACTCCCATGTTTTTTCACTTCTTTGAACATGAAAAAAAAACTAATGATAATTTAACACTGTGAGCTTGCAGTTCATATTTGTGAAGTCATAAAGGAGTTGAAATTAGTACTCTGAACTTTTGCCATAGGGATTATATTTTGTAAAATGCGTGAAATTAAAAATAATTGTTACCAATTTTGTCTGAACAACATTGTATGTCTTAACAGAGGAAAAATTTGAGTGTTGATCATATTAAATTTTATTTTTGTGGGAAGAAAGTTTTAGAGCTGCAAAAAAAGACAAAGTATAAAAATGCAAGCAATAGGTTAAAATACCTGCATTCCAAATTGTATGCTGAAAAATAACTCTTTTAGGCGCCTCAGTGCTGTATGGAAAGAACTGTGATGACATGGCCAAGAAAAGCACACCAATGTGCAGCAAGAATTGCATTATGGATTGCCTCGCTAAATGTTGGCCAACAATAGGTATAAGAGGCCCAACACACCAACCACTTACAAATCCAATTGTGGCAGCTACTAGAACATCAGGAATAAAATAACCTGCAAGTATTTGGCATTCGTATATAAGATGAAGAGATCATTAAAGCTGACCTAGCATCTCAAATTTGGGTCCCAAATTATGAAGCATAAAAGTTGTAACAAATTCATAGTGTACTGGGTTAGAAACACCAACCATATGGAGAAGGGTTTGAGCCAGACATGCCCATTTTCTCAAGCACAAAAACAATCAGAAACCCTCCAAAGTAAACCACATACATCAGGCAAGGAATCACAGGTATTACATAAGATGCAGTTGACCTGATAAACAATTTTTATAAAATTAACTTATATATCCAAATAAGATATATAAAGGCAAAATTGAAACAACTTTAATAAAATATACCCAAAAACCAGGCTTACGGGCTTCACTCTTTGGAAGCATATGGTAGGTTAAACTAAAAATAAAATGTGCTCCCTTCGTCCCAAAAACAACTTCACAGTTTGACAATCACACAGATTAAGAAAATAAATTTGACTTTACTGTTGGGTGCACTGTTTTGCACTGTTCAAACACTGTTTGACACTGTTTGGCACTGTTTTGATGTAGATAATTTGCCAAATAAGGAAAGTGTTGAAATGTGAAGTTAATTTTGGGACATCCATTTAAGGAAAGTGGGAAGTTGTTTTTGGGACGGAGGGAGTATTATGTATCACAGTATAGCTCATCCGGCGAGTAAGAATATCTAATGCGTCTAAATGAGAATGCTTCTAATTTCATCAACAATTGAATGTAATAGCAGGCTACCGACAGAAATTGGAGAATGCCTTTAATTTCATTTGGCAAAAACTATTATTGATGAGATATATCCAGAAAGCCCAATGCATGTTTCCCTCATCATGACCATATATGAGGGTAGTTTTAGCCTGTAATAGAATATATACCCATCCGTTGAGTACTTCAGTATGATTAAATACCTTGTCTTATACCGAATTGAGAAAGTATTTATTCTCATCCACATTAAGATGCCCTCACAGGCTAATATCACAATGAGAAAGAGAGGAAGAATATTGACACAAAATGAAAAATAGCTGGATATACGAGATGGTTGTTCATATTTCTACCTGAGAGATTCATGGCCAAAAGTCTTGCTGCATAGGCAGAAAGAAATCCAAGCTGGAATCATAAAAACTAAAATTAAATAAGTAAAGAAGCCTCCATTGAGTCCAGCTACAAGGTATGCCTGTTGAGAGAAAGAAACTTAGCCATATTTTATATAGATGTATAAGAAAGTATACCACCTCATTCAGAGGTAGCAAAACAAAATAATGTCAAACACTAGCTACACAAATAATTTTTCTCTCTACTCCATTAGCAGTAGAGAGAAACAACACACACCAATGTCACTACAGAGTAAAATCCAAAAGCTCCCCAAAATCTAGCTTCAGTAACCAATTCCTGCATACAAAAATATGCAAGATGATAAGCAATAAAATTGCTGCAAGAGAGATGGGCAATCAAGTTATCAGGTCTATAAAGATAGATAATTACTTGCTGCCAAAAAGTAAAACCATACCTGATTTGATAATCTGGGATAAATATTCCGTGACGAAGGAAAACCTCTCCAAACAAACTGAGGTATCAACAAACCAATAAGTGAGAAGGGTATAAACATTCCAAATGCCAGATATGGACTTGCGAACCTACATTGTGAAAGAAACATATACACATAAATATCTCAAAGAAAATATTTTGCAGACTTGAAATCGTGAAATAGGATAACAAGATGGTTTGACTACTAATTATTTAGAACCATTTAATGCTATCAATGCTAGTGTCAAAATATATGAATAAGTATAGATATAGGTTGGAGTAAATGCTAGTAGAAGTAAATGACAGCAAGTATCCAACTAGTACCAGTTCATTGAATGCCCAGAAAAAAACAATCTCACAACAGCGGATATTACAGGAATAGCAATGGCTAGAACAAACCCAGCTGCATGGTATAGCATCGCTAGAAAATGGAAACAACAACAAAATTACATAATGACAAGATAACAAGTTAGTGAGGACTAATCAACCAAAAGATAATTCTAAAATCAGGAATGGCATTACCCTTAACATAAGCAAAAGATGTAGCAAATGAGCAAACTAATCCACATGCTTGAAAGCGTAAGAGGTGTGGCATAAGAAGAAAGATAGCAAAAGGAGTACTATGAAGCAGAATGGCCACCTTTCTAGTGTAGAATATCTGAATCATTTAAAAACACCAAAACACAGAGATGTCCATTGGATCACAATTTATCTCTGGCTAATACTCAATAGTCAATACAGTTAAGTGTTAAACAAAAAAATGAAAAATGTATGAGCATCCAAAATTAGATATTCATGTCATACCAAAAACCAGGAAAAAAAATCATAGTAAACTGCACGCTCATCAGCTAACCCCCCCTGTTGAGAAGATGCATGCAACTTGCGTTCATGGGCATTCCGAAGTTCAGTTGAGTTAGAGAAGGCTCTGACCAGACTGAACAAATTTTCCCCACGCGCTTGCATGCTCCCAGGCCTGGTTTAAAAATAGATGCATCAGATCAGGTACCAAGCAATGAAAAATCTAAATTTTTTAATTATGTGAATACTATACCAAATTAGGATTTTGATGCATACAGTAGTCTATCAACAGTATCAGAGGATGTGTGATAAAAATAACCCCCCAGCAGGAATATGATATCCAGTCCCGGAATATTTCCATAATCTTGAGCGAACATTCTGTAATCTGTATCACCGGGAACAAAACCAAAGACATCCTGCAAAAAACATTAGCGGAAGGTTTTGAGAAACACAGATTGAATTTTCTGAAAAGACAGTTAAAGCAGATTAAGTTCTATAAGGAATATAGAGGGGTATATTGATATGTTTATTTGGTATGCTACGTGTAACGTGTTATAGACCTATAGGCCTATGAGTGATAGGAGTTGAAGACGAATGAGCTTCTTTTCTGCCTAAGGTGGCTAGTCAGAAACACACACAAACAGAGGAAGGGGGAGAAGAATTCAATGGAAAAAATATCCAAAAATATTTCTTTCAATTCCAACTAGCCTTTCAATTAAAAAAATGGTTTTCAATTTAAAGGAATCACAATTGATGTCAATTTTTTTATTTGAAAGGATAAAAAATTGCTAACTATAAAGAGATTCCCAAGTAATATTATTTGCAACGATACAAGGAAACCAAATACTAAAATACTCAAATCAATTAATTTGTGTAATGCAGCATCACTTCCCTCATGGAGATCAAGCTTGTCCCCGAGCTTGAAAACAAGAACATAGCACTAAATGTTTGTAACAGTAGAAAGAGCAAGTGAAACTTGTAGTATTCTTCAAGGAGAATGGAATGTGTTACAGAGGTGAACTGAAATGAAGGTGAGCAAACATCCCTTAGAAATGAGCATGCAAGGCAATGGTCAAATGAGACAATTACGCCGATAAAAAAGGATCCAAAGTTAGTTTTGGGCAATTTTCGGGGTGGGCAGGCAGTACTGTCCTTGTTAGAAGCAGCATGGCTGTAAAAGTTGCGGAGGTGGAAAAAGCGCTGGCAGTTTTGGAGACGGAACTTGAGGTTGTCAAACTTGTTAGAATGGTCTGGTAGTTGTGGATATAAGAAATCAATTTGGGTTGGTCAATGGTTTCGGATTCATCTTCTGGGATTGAGGATTAGCTCTGACCAATCATGAATTGTTAGACCATCTTCACTGGATTAGTAAGTGTTGTGACTTGCACAAGTGTTTCTTAAAGGGGACCTATGGTAAAGGAGAGGTTCTCAATTTTGCCCGCTTGAGCCTCTGAGGCGCGGACAGATTTTTGGAGGACTTGAAAGTGGGTTCATTGGTAATGTTACTTCTTCCAAAACCGGAATGGGAACATCAGAACCATGAAATGATCATAGAATATAGTGCGTGTTCTGGGTCTATGATCAAAAGAAAGTGGGAGGAATGACCATATATGTGAACTGAAGGGCTGAGGGGGCAAAGAGCATAGGCTCATAGATTGGGACAGAAATTAAAAAGTTATCTCAATTCACACTTGCACTCATGAACTTCAATTACAAAACACCTTCCTATAAGGGAATTAGAATTGTAATTTAAAAGGAAGTGAATACTTCCATTAAATAGGAAAAGATCCCAAATAACTTTACTTGCAACAAAACAAGGAAACTAATTTAATCAAAATCAATTAATTGTGAAATGCAACATAAATCAAAACCTGAGCTGCACTATTTGCGGTAGGATATAAAGCTGCCTTTGCATAAACTTGTGATGGCCAAGAGCCAGGTCCAGATTGACACACCAAATCTGTTAAGTGAAAAATACACTTAAAAGTTAGCATGTCTTCCACACTCCAACTGTAAAGAAATGTAGGAGGTGCAAGAAATAAAAATCTCGACACTTTCTGATGCAGTATAAAAGATGATTTTGTTCTTTCCTATATGGTGACATGTGAAATCACAAATCTTAACCAAATTTGCTTCATATAGGTACAAATTCCTATATGGTGACAAATGACAATCACAAGCAAATTATTGAAAGTGAACTATATGTGTAACTCTTCCTAAGACCAAATGCAACATGTAATAGCACCTTTATTTATAAATAAATAAATAAAAGATCAAAACCCACTTTAGGTTTAGTTACAATTTCATAAGAATAATTAACATGTCAACAGTTCCTGAACTATTGCACATAATAACTAATAAGCAATCAATTACCTACCAGAACCCCCTATTCCAGAGGCCTCAATGTTTATGAATGCTCCAACTGTATCACGCCATCTATGTGTTGTAATGAACCCATGTGAGCCCTGAAAACAAAAGGTATGCTAAAATACCCTAAAAAATAAAAGTATGTCCATTTGGCCATTTTTGCAAGAGTTACTTATAAAGCTCTTAAGATACACACCCACTTTCACAAAAGTACCCTTTGCTGCCCCATATAGTAAATTTGTAATCATGATGAGACAGACCTTTCCTTTAAGAAATAACTAAAAAAAGAACTCTGTATTTGATAATATTAACCAAAATTATTTCCATGTCAGCAGTGTGACACTAATGACTAATCTATGATAACAGAAACATGTAACTTAAACCCATGTTGATACAATATCATTGAAATGTAAAATTAGTAATATAAACAGTTACCACAATATCATGACTTCATGTTCCGGTCTGTGCCAGAAAATGGACCGAGACCAGACACCTAATAGATTTATTCATTTAGATGCTGTCCTTTTTAGTCGAAAAAATAAAGATTTTGGTCTTCCATCTCATTCAAAACAGAATTTTTTGGTCCTAAACCATTAGACCTGAAAGCCAATATGTGTGCGCAGACATGTAATATGCACATGTATATATAATATGTAAACTAGTATAGTACCCGTGCGATGCACGGGATATTATTGCAATATTTGTGAAAGTGTTGAATACGTATGTATTTTAAATACGTATTTCGGCTTATGATGTAATTAATATGACGAACTAAAAAAGAATATAGATATTATTGCAATATTATTGCAATATTTGTGAAAGTGTTGCAATATTAATATGACGAGAAAAAAAAATATAGAGGCCATTTGACATCACTGTTTTTCGGCTTATCAGCCAACTTTTTCACCAAGCACATAACTTTTCTGGCGTTGAATTGTGTATTAAGTAGAAAAAGTAAGGTTAGAGTTACTTTTCTGGCTGTATTGGGTGAAGTTATGGTATTTGACCATTTTAGCTATTTTTACATATTTTTTTCTTTATCTTAAAAATGATTTTTCTTAAATCAGCAGAATCAATCAATGCAGCCACTTCAGCCAGAACTTCATAAATTTCAGCAGAATCAGTCAATGCAGCCACATCAGCCAGAACTTCATAAATTTCAGCAGAATCAACCAAATCAGCCGATTTTCGTGCTACCAAACGGGCTCATAAGGTGTTTACTCTTAGAGATGTACCCGAGTATTATTTATGTTGTTAATCAAAGGAGGCATCCAGCTTTGAATTTCTCCATTCATATTCCACAAATATCTTCACACATATAATGTGAAGTTTTACTTCTCGAATAAATTTGCTACTTTCTTAAACAAATTATTTAGAAAAAATGTTACAGTTAAAATATATTTTTATTTGGTTTTTGTATATGAGTATATTGGAATTTGATAATTACAATTGGTGATATCATTTACCGGTGTATTCTATGAAGAAAGAATTCTCATTATCCCATTCTACCTTGTTTGAATATGCCATTCTAAGCTTTGTGTAAAACTACATAATAGCTTGTTTAATAATCTTTATTTTCTCCTTAATTATAAGCCAACTTTTCTGTCAAACATACAGTTTTTTACTTCACACGCTGACATGTGTAATAATTAAAGTTAGATTATATGGTAGCCATAAGGTACCATACCCTTACCCACATGAACCAATCACAATATTGAATTTCAATTATTTAAATGAAAATAAAAAGTGATATAACGTTTTGGATCAAACAAATGAAGGATAGGTATGGTACCCCATTTTCTAAATGAGTACTGGAGTTGTCACCATCACTAAAATAAGTAAGGTTCGAATTACTTTTTTTGCTGAAGTTACTGGGTAGAAAAAATGTCATTCTGCTTTTATTGATATTAGAGGTGAGAATGTTTTTAAATTATATAATTAATGAGGCATCATTTACACACTTTCGATGACTAAAAATATGTTTCTAATGAACATTCAACATATTTTAGGATTTTTAGGCATGATTATATTAAATATTGTCTCATTTGAAAACAATGCGGAACTTCTAAGTGTCATTAACCAAAATTGACACAATATTTTTAATCAGATCATATCCACAAATGAACTATTTTAAATGTTTTGGGGTCCATAATGATTCAGATTCCTCCACGTTTTTAAATTTATATATAGATAAATATGATTATGATGAAGTAATGTTTCATCAAATAGTTGGTCAGATGCATTATTTGTCTACGATGCTTTGAACAAAGCTAATGCACTTTCATTCTACATCATCTCTTTTGTGTTTTGATACTTATTTATGAACACAAAATTAATGAAACATGTACTACCCAATCATCTTGAATGAAACCAAGGCCCCAAAACATGCCTTGAATTAGAACAAAGCACAGTTTATTTGCGTTTCAAATTTTTGCAACAATTCTGAAAAGTACCTAGAGCCATCAAACATAGTGAACCAAAGCAACATTTCTTTACCTTGATTGGAAAACTGAAAAAGAAAAATATATAAGCTAGACCATTTGAATATTTACTTACCTTAGTAAACAACTATAGGTGAATACAAAACTATAACGTCTAGGTTTAATTAAGAAGTATTTTCAAACTATCATTGATATTTCCCAATAGTGTATAGATTCCAACTGTAGTGTGTTTTCAAATAATATACTCCGTATAGATCCTAATTTTGCAGAAAAATGTTTCAAAGATAGCTAATTAAGAAAATCAGGGCAGACCTAGATTGTAAGTAGTTCAATGTAAAAAGGAATAAACCAAATAATGGATTTTTGTGTAGACGGATGGAAACACATTTATGTGTTTATTTATTTATGTGCCAAGTTCATAAGTTTCTAAGTTTCATGTGAAATAAATTCTTGTGATGTATATATGAAGCTAGAAAATATAGTCTAATTTAATCAGAACTCAAGCCTTTATATGCAGGATATGTATCTAATTGAAACACATACATCATAAGTTAACTGGAAATAATAATTAAAATCAATTTTCCTCATCCATTATGTGAAAGCTTGTACATAAATCAAACACATCGGTGAGCCTAAACATCATAGTGTTTGTTTACATTCATTTCGATTGATTAACAATTTGAGAATAAAAATGTAAGACACAATTACCTCTTTGAAATATCCAACTAATCTCAAATCTCAAAATTGCAAGTTATGCATTCGAATTGTACATGTGCATTATTTATACTTGTATCAGTGCATGCTATTGATAAGTACTTAGGTAGTATCTCTATTATTAATGGATATTGAAATTACAATGTTGACTTTTCAGCTCCCCATAACAACCTTCCAACATACGCGCGGAGTACTCCGTAGCCATTAAAACATTGTCTTGGTAGCTACTTCATTTTTATTTTTTATTCTAGCCATTATAGAATACGAAGCATAACATATGAGTACAATTACATAGATCTCCTAGAACGTAACTTCAATTTGGTTAGCCGCCTAATTATTAAATTTTTGGACAACTTTCTCTTTAAAAGAGACGATACTCGGATATAGCACACCATTGCTTAGCCAATTAGTCGGCACATCTATCTGTCGCCATAAATTTCGTTGGGAAGTGCAAGGAATTTCTTCCATTAAACACACCAATCGATAGGGCAAACCATTGTCTTAAAATCATTGCTACAGAGTTCCTGCCCAAATTTTTCCTCCCACTATTTTGTTATTATATATATAGAGAGAGAGAAATACACACAACCTCATATATTTGTACAAATGGGATTGGGTTCAAATAAAAAGCACTCCCTGTGTGAAAAATGAGAAATAATCTTGACCATTGGTTTTACAGAACAATTTTAATGGACAAAATGCGGCGGCATTATACTAAATATGAAAAAAAAAACTAATGAAAAAACAATAAAAAAGTGCACTATTTTACTTAAAAACTGCACTTAGCACATAGCTGAAATAAAATGTGAGTCGATAAAAATCTATGAGAAACAATTCTGTATATGCAACATGTGCACTCGTACTAAAACATTTCATCTTTTTTGTCACTGAATGTTGTACATTTGTGTTTCAATCACTTACAATTATGTCACCGCGTGTTTTAAATGAAGAAAAACTCAACGCATTCGTGTTTTGGGGATAGAACAGTATATTTATCTGGCCTTTGGTCCAAGATTTTTGAATTTTCACTTTTCAGTATTCAGTATGGTATTGAACCAATGAAAACCCCTTACAAAGAGCACATTAGAAATCACTGAATCACATGGTCATCTATCTCACTAAAAATTTGAATAAAGTAGCACTCAATAGCACATTTTATTCATAATGAAACAAACACAAAAGCTGCACTTTAGTGTTAAGTGTTTAGTCTTTCAACTGGCATATTAAATTGTCAAGTTGTAGGCTTGTAGCAGCTAATAAGAACTTGCTCTATTGAGAAGGACTATATTGAAGAAGTTATTACCAGCATAAATAGTTCTTCTGCGCCATTGAATAGAAATATGATTGGTCTAGGAGGAACCCAGCCTGAATCAATCGCAAGTCTGGCTAATTCAAGTAATGCAGCTGGTAAAAAGAAGTGAGAGTACAATCAAGATACAATCGGAGGGTGTTACACTGCAGTAAAGGAGATAACACCCAAAAACCTACCAACACACGAGCCACAGTCACCAGCTCCCGGAGAACCAGGTGCCGTATCAAAGTGACCATTTAGTAAGACTGACGGGTCATCATCTCCTGATTGCAACGATGAGATTCTGCAACTCAAGACAAAAATAGTTAAATTTCATATACACAGTACGTATTTCAACGTTTCAGGCATTATGCCAACAACTTAGTCTTAAATGGGGGATGGTTTTAGGAAGCACCTCATAGCTATATTAGTATGGTTCCTGTAAGCAAATGAGATGCTGTAACCTAAAAAGATCATGCTGAAAGAACCATTCACTACAGTCTCTTCTATCTCAACCCTGCAACAAACAGAACACCAGTAAGCTTACCAACTTCAGAGAGCATAACTGCAGTAAGCGAACATAACTAAACTATGTGTAGCAAAAGAAGGAAAGAAAATGAGAAACAACCGAACATTAAGCCTAGCACGCTCCTTCATGGTTTCCAACTGTGCTTTTATATATTCAGCCGCTTGTCTCAAACCCGGAGTTCCTTCCTACATTAATTGGTATAGGTTTTGAAGGAGCTTTGAATACAACAGTTACAACACATTTCTTGCAATATTTGCTTTCTTTTTAGCTTAAATTTAACTTCATAATAAGCATATGAGAATGAACCGAAATGGTGTAGACATAAAGCCCGATATCTAAATTGAAGATGCATATAATTCGCAAACCTGGCGTCCCCCAATGTCTTCTGCTAAGACGCGGACGTGTTCGATGGCTCTGGCTTCGGAGAACTGGTGGAGTGGAGCATCAATTCCCAGAGGCGTGATAAACTTCAAGTGAAGAACGGCGTACGCCAGGATTGACATCAGTCCATAGAGAACAGCGAGCGAGAAGAACACCTTGAATCCGGCTATGTCTCCGGATTTCAGCGTCAGAGTCATTCCGGTCAAACTTCTGCTTCCGGTTAAGAACGTGGAATCTGCTCGGCAGCAGTGAAGAGTATCAAAAGCACGGGAGATAGGAATAAAAGTCTGAAAAGGAAGTGTTTGCCAAAATTAAAACAAAATTGCTATGGGTACCTCATTTACTACCCCATTTATACCCCATATATAAATCATCCCTCTTTTTTTACCTCACTTCCTTCCCATCTCAAATTTTTACTCCCAGCTCTTCTTTCCTTCCAAAACTCCAGCCCAACCAGCCCCTACTCCCGGCTTACTCCCCTGCGACTTCGAACCACCCAGATCCGAGCATCCCACCACAACACCGGCCAACACCACCTCTCGTTTCTCCCTCCCCTCGTCTCACCTTCCCCTCTTTTGCTTATTTTCGTTTCAAAGAGAGAGAAAGAGAGCTACAATGCTATGGTGAAAGGAGGTCATCCTTGAACTCCGTTTGCAACCCTCTTCAATGGAGTTGAGCTACCACTCTCTGCACATTTCCTTCCCAGTATTCCTCTTTTCTCCCCTTTTTCATCTTTCTTCATTTTTTATTATTTATTTTTTATTTGACGTGTAATAATCTATATATCTTGTAATGTTGAATTGTTTAATATGTTGTGTTATTGTAATGGATTTGTGATGTTTATTCTTAAAATTTAGTCCAACTATTCTAAGTCATTAATATGCCCATAACATATTTGTTCAAATGCCTATACGAATTTTTTGTTTGTGTCCTCCTATGTTTTAAGGATTTTGGATTTTGTTTCACTAGTATAGTTTTCAACTTTAAATTGTGCATATTGTTGTCTGGTGTATTACTTGAAGTGCATATATGGTTGATTTCTCTTAGTAGTTGGTAATGGCTTAGTAGTTTAAAATTTTAAGGATTTTGGATTTTGTTTTACTAGTATAGTTTTCAACTTTAAATTGTGCATATTGTTGTCTGGTGTATTACTTGAAGTGCATATATGGTTGATTTCTCTTAGTAGTTGGTAATGGCTTAGTAGTTTAAAATTGGTTTGTAGTTGTCTGTCATGTGAAATTAGTTGTCTGGCAAGCCATTTGAGTTGTCTGTCACTTCATTTTGAACTGTTGAATACGCCGTTCGTTTGTAGCGATTGAATAGGGTGGAAAAAGCATAGGATTTCCTTAAAAATGTGGGAATGTTTTTATGGGTTGTTTAATGTCTGTGTGACCAGACAACTTTATTTGTTTGTGTAAGTAGAACAAATGTTTGTATTCGCATGCAAGTATTTCACAGATGTATTATAATGTACGTTTGATGAGTTGAGTAAGTGTTAATGTAGTTTTTATATAAATGTGAGTGCTTTTGTTTGGAAACATTGTTGTATTTGGCCGAATATAAAGATAATTGTTTGTCTGTAGAGACGAAAAGATAATTGTTTGTATGTAGGGACGAAATGATAATTGTTGAAGGGAACATGTATACTTTTCTGAAATAACAGATGAAGAGAAGTGCACAGAAATCACGCCTCAAATGAAATTCATGATTGGACCGTATTAACGCCCTGTGTCTATGATAAGGGGTCGGATTTGAACCTTCGGTTATTGTAATTTAGCAGTGTATGTAGTTTGGAATGAACAATTACTTGTGGTCTTTAAAATTATGTGTTTGTGTTATGGTATATTTCTTCTACAGCTAGACAACTTAATTGCCAGATAGACAAAATGTATACCTAAAAATACTATACGCACACACGTACAAACAACTATGTCATACACAGACAGATAAATTGCATCCGTAGACAGACACTACATTATAATTAAATAAAAAACATATGTAAAAGTTCACAACATAACAAAAAAGGTTTCATTTATACTTGACAACCTAACATAACCCAATGTACAACATTGCACAACTACATACTCGCATTTACTTGAATGTCACATTTGTAAGGTTTGCAACATATTCAAAAACAAAACAAAAAAATCATCCAATTATTGAACATTGTACAACATTAACATTAACGGTTGTAGACAGACATCCATAATGTTTGCAACTGCATTAAACAACCCATACAAACATTTCCACATTTCTAAGGAATTCTTATGCTTCTTCCACCCTCTTCAATCACCACAAACGAACAGCGTATTGACATCTCTTGTTCTACATGTCTGCATATTCACACTATGGAACCAGGGGATTTCCCTTTAACAGGTGCTATGCAAAGGATGCAACCATCGCTCCACATCCTTCGGACCTGTAGACAAACAAGTATAACCAAGACAAATATTTACGACACTTATACAGACAATTTATGTATTGTAATAAAGGTTGCCAGACAACTAATTTCACATGACAGACAACTACAAACCTAGTTTCAACAGTTCAAAATGAAGTGACAGACAACTCAAATGGCTTGCCAGACAACTAATTTCACATGACAGACAACTACAAACCTAGTTTCAACAGTTCAAAATGAAGTGACGGACAACTCAAATGACTTGCCAGACAACTAATTTCACATGACAGACAACTACAAACCTAGTTTCAACAGTTCAAAATGAAGTGACAGACAACTCAAATGGCTTGTCAGAGAACTAATTTCACATGACAGACAACTACAAACCAATTTTAAACTACTAAGCCATTACCAACTACTAAGAGAAATCAACCATATATGCACTTCAAGTAATACACCAGACAACAATATGCCCAATTTAAAGTTGAAAACTATACTAGTAAAACAAAATCCAAAATCCTTAAAACATAGGAGGACATAAACAAAAAATCCGTATAGGCATTTGAACAAACATGTTATGGGCATATTAATGACTTAGAATAGTTGGACTAAATTTTAAGAATAAACATCACAAATCCATTACAATAACACAACATATTAAACAATTCAACATTACAAGATATATAGATTATTACACATTAAATAAAAAAATAATAATAAAAAATGAAGAAAGATGAAAAAGGGGAGAAAAGAGGAATACTGGGAAGGAAATGTGCAGAGAGTGGTAGCTCAACTCCATTGAAGAGGGTTGCAAATGGAGTTCAAGGATGACCTCCTTTCACCATAGCATTGTAGCTCTCTCTCTCTCTCTCTCTCTCTCTCTCTCTCTCTCTCTCTCTCTCTTTGAAACGAAAATAAGCAAAAGAGGGGAAGGTGAGACGAGGGGAGGGCGAAACGAGAGGTGGTGTTGGCCGGTGTTGTGGCGGGATGCTCGGATCTGGGTGGTTCGAAGTCGCAGGGGAGTAAGCCAGGAGTAGGGGCTGGTTGGGCTGGAGTTTTGGAAGGAAAGAAGAGTTGGGGGTAAAAATTTGAGATGGGGAAGGGAGTGAGGTAAAAAAGAGGGATGATTTATATATGGGGTATAAATGGGGTAGTAGTTGAGGTACCCATAGCAATTTTGAAATTAAAATGCTGCCCAAAGAGAGTCCTGCTTGGGGTACCCCAATATGTACCCCAATCTGTACATCGTCTGTGTACACAGACATTTGGACAGAAAGTCCTGCCCTCTTTCAAACGAATTGCCCGTGTACACAGACAATTCAGGGGGGTGGGTACAAAATGGGGTACATTTTGGGGTACCTGTAGAATTTTTGGCCCAAAGAATGTAACAGTAATGACTATGCCGATCAATGTATCAAAAGTTTACTGAATTTTTTTTATCATAAGTTTATGTTTTAGAGCATTTCCATTGAGGCTCTCTAAATAAAGATTTTTTTTTAGAGAAAACTGTCAAATAAATTCGTCTACTTTTAGTGAAAAGTCAATTGAGTCCATCTACTTTTTAACGAGTCAATTAAGTCCATGAAGTGCCAAAAAATAACCAAATCAACCATTTTACAGATAATTAAAAGGTTACCCGGTAAACTGCAGGCCATATACCGTGGAACCGGTGCATGGTGAGCACCATGCACCCATGGTTGTATGAAATGTAACTCGTGTGATTCGAGATGTAACTTCATGTTAATCCAAATGTAAATTACACTCATTCACATGTAACTCCTTGAAATGTAAACTGCTTTTATTGAAATGTAACTTGGGGAACAAATTAGATGTAACTTAATATATGTAACTTTAATCTTTTGAAATGTAAAACGCTTTTACAGAGATGTAACTCCATGTATTAATTAATATATATACACACTCCATATATATATACACACACACTCATGCTTGGGCAGAAATCAGAGATCATCGTTGCTTTCTAATCATACAAAGATGAGGTGAAGTTGGTTCCAGGATATGACAACACTAGGGAGATCACATCTGAAGATCATAGTCTTTCTAATCATATTGGGATTTGGGATATATGTTGGTGAAGGAGAAGCGCAGTAAGGAGAAGACCCAGCAAATGCTCCAACCTGGTGTTGCTCTGCTTTGCCGCGGCGGAAGATGATCGATGCTCTGTTTTTTTTTCTTTTTTAGGACCCGGCACACCGTCCTCATGGTGTGCCGGTTGTAGGGTATAATTTGCGGGTAAACTGCCAGTGTGTATGCTTAGGTGGCATTTTTTTTCGGTTTTCTATTTTTGTAAAATTTTTCTTTTTTCTTTTTCTCTTTTCTTTCTCCCTCGTTTCTCCTTCTCTTCCTTTCGTTATTCTCCCATCTGTTTTAGCCCTCCCCCTAGCTTTAACTCCATGAATGGCAGTTCCATTTTCTTCATCAATCGTAAGTCCATTCCTCTTTCGCTTCTCAATGTTCTCATCGGCCTGTTCTAATCGCTCTTTTCTTTTTCTTTCATGCCTAAACTAATGAAATTAAAATTGAAATTCGCAATGAAACAAAAAGGTGAGGTGACTATGTAGCAAGGGCGGCGAAGGTGCAGTGGGAGGGTGGAGGTGGTGGCCTGACTATGGAGGTAGGGGCGAAGAAGGATGCTTTAGTGGGGGAGCTAGAGATGGAGGCTTGAAGTTAGTGACTATGGATGTAGGGGGCGGCGGATGGGAGGACCTTGGACTCTTGGAGGCGGTGGCTATGGTGGCCTGGGAGGTGGAGGTAACTGTAGTAGATGAGGTGAGGCGGCATAGGTCGATGGAGGGGGGTGTGGATTGCAGATGCACGGGCGGCAAAGGTCGGGATGGAGGCACGGGCGGTAGAAAATTGGACTGTGCTGTAGGCCTGGAAAGTGGAAACATAGCAGACCTTCACGGGAGAAAGAAGAAACAAGAGAGAGAAAAAGAAAAGAAAAAGAAGAAAGAAGGAAAGAGAAAATAAAAAAGAATAAGAAAAGAAATTATGGAACAGTTAAAAAGGCCACAAGGACATCCACATTCCACCGGGCAACCGGCAGATGACCTAGAAAAAAACCTATTTGGTGATTTTTTTATACTTCGTGGACTTAATTGACTCGTTAAAAAGTAGATGAACTCAATTGACTTTTCACTAAAAGTAGATAGACTTATTTGACAGTTTTCCCCTTTTTATGGGAAAATGGAAACTAATAATCCAACCTTTTAGCGGTCTTCTTTTAATAGTCCGACCTTTTCGTTACTCATGAATAATCCAACCTTTGCACCTCATCTTCATTCATTGGTCCCCGACCGGTTGATGACCTGCTATTCCGAGTTATTTTCTTATCTCTGCAAACTATTATACCATAAATTCCACCTTTCACAAAGATAATGTTTTGCACATATAAGAAAATAACTTAGAATAGCAGGTCATCAACCAGTCAGGGACCAGTGAATGAAGATGAGGTGCAAAGGTTGGATTATTCATGAATAACGAAAAGGTGGGACTATTAAAATAAGACCGCTAAAAGGTTGAATTATTAGTTTCCATTTTCCCTTTTTTATTACACATCATTATTATATCACGCTTATTTAATAAATTTAACATAATATCAAAGTTTAAAAATCTTCATCAACAATAATATTCAAATAATCAATTTTTCCAGACATGCATTAAATGTAATTTAACTACAATCTAAAATAATTTGGGATTGGAATCTTGACACGGGATTTTCTTTTTCAATAATCTCATTAAATAATCTCTTAATCACAATAGTAATCTTTAAAATAATCTTACACATCATCCAATTGATCTTCAAATAAACTCATGAATGAGGATGCCCTTAGTGAATTTGAAAATAGGAGGATTATCTTTTTTTTTATAAATATGGCACTATCATGCTCTCTCCATATTTAAAAATTCTCTAAACTTTCCTTTTTGGGATGTATCTAAAAGTTTCATACACTTCCATTTTCGGTAAGTTTATCTTTTATAAAATACTCTTACTTTATCCACTTTGTATTTCTCTTTCATACTTTTACACATTTTCTTCTACTTTTCTACACTATTCATTACTCTTA